AGGTTATGAGAGTTGTTGAGACTGCCAGAGACAAGAGGCTTGGCAGTAAGATGAAGATGAGAAACCCCTGAAGACAGAACTCAAGACTGGCAAGGTAAGCATTATGTTGTTTTTAGTTTTGATTTATTTACTTGGAAAACTGAAAAGGAATTAAAGTCTGGCAAGAAGGGCTTGGAGATCAAAGCCTGATCAGAAGGCCTGTGAGATGGCTTGTTTGATGGGAATATAATGGGACAGCTCTAAAGAGAAAAGAAATTGTAAACAAGGTTCTGCAGCAAAACCCCTACCTACATGTATCTTACCCGTCCTATGAGCAAACAAAAAATTTCACACAATGCAGCACTGTTCATGAGCATCACATTCATTCATATTTCAAAAAGCTCTGCTGCACAATTGTACAGAAATAATAGAGCTTATATAAATGAGCCCTTGTCTCATACTACCAATGATCTTTCAACCTCTCACCATACAGCAAATATGAGTTAAGCAATCTCAAATAACTGTCTTTCTTGGCTGCAGTTTGCATCAGAGTACTGAATGGATTATCAATTGGGGAAGAACTATTTCCCATGTAAAAAAAAAAACCCCAACAAAAAAAACTCCAGGGAAAATTCTGAGCATGCTCTTTTAAGTCACCTAATATCACTTCTAAGCTGATGTCAGGGTCAGGGGAACATATTTATTAGTAGTAACAGCTTTGGTCTCTTCTATATAATTCCAATCAACTGAACGATGTTCACTATGTATGTCTACACTTGCACCCTAGTTCGAACTAGGGATGCAAATGCAGGCATTCGAAATTGCTAATGAAGCGGGGATTTAAATATCTGCGCTTCATTAGCATGATCTCGCCAGCATGCTAGTTCGAATCACAGCTGATTCAAACCAGGAAGTGCGCTCCGGACCACGTTAGTTCGAACCAAACCCCTTGGTTCAAACTAACGTTACCCCTCATTTTGAGGAGTAACATTAGTTCGAACGAAGGGGTTTGGTTCAAACTAACACATCCCAGCGCGCACTTCCTGGTTCGAATCAGCTGTGATTCGAACTAGCGCGCCGGCGAGATCATGCTAATGAAGCGCGGGATATTTAAATCCCCACTTCATTAGCAATTTCGAATGCCTGCATTTGCATCCCTAGTTCGAACTAGGGTGCAAGTGTAGACATACATAGTGAACATCGTTCAGTTGATTGGAATTATATAGAAGAGACCAAAGCTGTTACTACTAGGAGGGGGCACTCCATAATGCCTAGTCTGCAAACCTCAGGACAAAGGAGATTTTTTTCTACAGAACAGGGATCAGTTTCTGTAATAGGGATGTAATAGTATAGTTGATTAACTGGTAAGCAAAAGCTTATAGATTAATATAGACGACATGCACTTCCTGGCTCAGTTTCGGCTTACACTGGGTCCAGGAACTTAGACACTTGTCGCTGGACAGGGGCTGCTGCAACTCCATGCTGCTGCCTCTGTATCAGCAACAAGAAGCCGGTCTCCAAGGGGAACAGATTTTTAAACTGGCTCCCCTCACAGACCAGCTCCCGCCTAGCACCCTGTGATGCTGTCTCTGAAACAAAGGCAGCAGCATGAAGCTCCTCAGGAGTGGGGCCAGAGTGCACTGGCTGCTGGCCCCCCTCCTGGGGACTACAGAATAGTCGAGCAACCGATAAGAATTCATGAGGTTAATCAATTATTCAATAAACTGATATTTAACGTCCCTATTCTGTAACTTACCAGGCTTCCAGAGATCATGTGGAACAGTGGAAAAGTAAATTTAGTATGGATTGAAGCCAGGTTTATTTTTCACGTATTAAATTAGGAAGAGCAACAGTGACAATACTCTGCTACCCTCTTTACCACTCCTATGGTTCAGTTTCTCTTAACCCAGGATAAGAATGTCACATAAAGTAGACGTATGTATTTTGTATAAATCTAGATTTGGGGCTGTGTTTCTTGGCGATGAGTACTAATAATGTTCTCTTCACACTCTACCACAAGAAACAAGAAGAAAAAACAACCAGACTGACCTAGTTTGCTATTTGAGCATTATAATAATGAAGGCATCAAGTGCTACTTCTTTTTCTAGTGTTATGTCTAGTTACCAAACGTTAAAACCAAACATTTACCTAAAATGTTATTATCTCTATGTCCTTTGCATTAAGAGAAACTGCATAGGAAAAAAAAGTTGCTGTATTTTAAAAATTAATATGACAGTTATATCTTTATTATTAAAAACAACTCTTTAAATATTTTTAAATACCATAATATGTTACATTGCCCAACATATCACTGCAGCATATTACCTTGGAATCCCTATGTTCTGCTGGGATGCTAGAGGAATTAAGGGTACTCCATTGTCTCCAACTGCCCAGGAAACACTATTGGACACTTTGCCAGAGGTCATTAAAGTAATCTTATTACTGCCATCAGCTTCAAATGAAAATGGCACACCTACAACCAGGAGAAAAAAACCAAAAAATTATCTTTTCTATAAGTTTCAAAATTGGAGTATCCTATTATGATTTATGAAACACTAATTCAACACCTGTGAAAAGAACCTACTAACACCAACAACTATTTTCTTGGAAGAAATTTTTTTCCTAACTGCACAATGAATCACTGGAAGAAGGCTTTCAATTTTCCAAAAGGTGAGAGGAATGAGGTTTCCTTCCTGAATGATAATGAAACATAGAGCTGAAAAGTCAGACCCCAGGGAACCATGATTGTACAGCCTTATGTGTATCCACCACGCTCAGTGCCCATCAACTTACTCAATCTCTTCTGCTCACCATCCACATCTTTCACTTTGCTTTCCCTCACTCTTTTACCTTACTCTAGTCTCTGCTGCGAAACACTGAAACTTGAGTCCCTGGCTTCACAATATGACTCACAATGACTTTTTATTTTTACCTTAATTCCCCCTTTTCCTATTCCTTTCTTTAGTTTATCTTCATTTGCTCTATTTGTCTAGCAGAGAAAAATATATTTTATTTATGTGGCTAAAATCATATAATAGTAGTATGTTGGGATCAATCTAAAAGCTGAACATTCTAATTAAGCACCACCTAGAGTAATCAGGAAACCATACCGCTCCCAACTCCTTCATGGTCCAACATCACACGCTGGCTGCTGCTAAACTCTATTTCTTCTGTACGAGCTCTACCAGTGAGAACTGTAGTCTCAGGAATAGGTATAAACACTTCTGCTAACATAGTGGTGCTGCTGAGTCCCATAGTTTCGTATATCTGAAAAAAGCAATGAGATAGGTAGTGAAATGTTACTTTCAATTCTGGGTGTTGAGAAAAAAGCAGTTAACATGATTAAGTGGTAGAGGAATAGACTGATAAGTAAGAATTTAAATATTTACACATGTATAGTGTTTAAAGCAATGGCTAAGTAGTGAACAAAGTAACTTTCTAAGGCAGTGATGAGCTGCATACTACCATTGGGGTTCCACCTGCGGCCTGTGCACCCTCTTTCTGCTCCCCTCTTGCATGCCTCTTGTGTACTGGAACCCTGCACTTACCTAGTCCTCCTCTTCCCTCCTTAATTCACAGCCTTTCAAGCAATGGAAGGGAGGGGGAGAAGTGGGGACAAGGTGCAAATATCCAATTCATGGCTCCCAAAAAATGCTGGGAGGGAGGTGGAGGAATAGGTAACTGCAGGGCTCCAGTGTGCAAAAGACATGGGGGAAGGAGGCAGAAAAGGGGTGCGTGGGCCACAGGTGGACCCCAATGGCCACAAGCTGCCCACCACTTTCAAATCTTGTGCCCACTGAGAAGGACAGTCACTTATGCAGCCCACTCGCTACTCTTGGCTGACCATCTCTGTTCTAAGGGAACACCCAGGAGGAATCCCTGATGACTTGTACCAAACACATTTTGTCAACTTTGGCTGCAGTGTGTCCCCTTCACAGCTAATGTGCTTGATAACATTTAAGACAATATCTAGCCTTTACTACTTTGATACATGTTATATAACTACTGATCAACTTAGAGGTGGCAGAAACCCCACATCAGGAAAGCTACTGAAGAGACCATGTCTCATAAGCTATAACCTTTTGCTGAGCTACCAGCAAATGCAGGCATGTACATTATATCAGCCTGTAGGAGAGTGCAGCCTATTTCCCTCAGTGTGCCTAGTTGGCTGCATAGGACCATGGTCCTATCTCCTCTCTTGGTCCCCTTTGGGGTGGATTGCAGCAAACAGGATCCAAGGAGGGACAGTTTCAGGACTACACTGAGAGTAGGACTGCAGCTGTATCTTGTCCACGTGCAAGAGGATGGATGGCATGTGTTGGCATGGAAGAAAGGAGGCTGGTGTGTATCTTTTAACTGGATGATAAATGTTGCATTAGGCATCCCTTAGACATAGCATTTAAACCATAGGCTATATTAAAAGTGTGCTACTGTCTGCTTCATTATATTACTGAATTACCCTTTTCTGAGTGAATGAAATGGTTTTCAGAATTCAGAGAATGCATCCTTCCCTATAACTCAAGTTCACAACTTGATCAAGAGTATTACATTTTTTCAAATTGTTCACTAGTGTTATTGTGTGGACAAGAGTTTCTTGAGTAGAATAGACAAGGACGGCTGATGAGGAGGAAGGAGGGAGGAAGGGACAAAAAGGACAACTGCCCTGCCCCCAGTGATTTAAAAGGGTCCAGAGTTCCCAGCCACCGTTATTACTATGAGAATGGCTGTAGCCCTGGGCCCTTTATATTGCCACTGGAACCCCAGGAAGGGGAACAAGTCAGGACCTTCAGGACTTAAGCTTTACAACCTTGTGTTGTTACAAAAAATAGAGAGTAAAAGCAAGTAATTAAAATTGTCTTTTTAGTATGTGTCACATAGCAAAGTCCTTGCAAAATAATTATTTACCTGAAGTTTCAAACTTTCTGGCCAATTGAATATTTTCAGATTGAAAATTTGCCCAAAGTGAACTCTGAAGTCTGAGCTTATTTGCCGGGTGACAGTCCTCGACACTTCTTTAGTGTTGAAAAGAACTTTTAAAAATACTAAACGTTTCTTTACATCTTCTCGTCTTAAAACTTCTGCCCTGTGAACATATTACAGATAAATTATGAGAACAGATTTTGTACAAATTATCTTTACTCTTTGGAATATTGTATAGGAATCTAATTATTGAAAAGAGAGAAAGACATAACCAAAAGTATGTCAATTAACCACTCTACCGAAATATCACTACACAGGAACTCCACAGTTACTTTGATTTCTCATGCATGGTAAAAGATTTTATAATGTAATATGTCAGATTTTCATCTCAACTTGAGGCTTCTTCATACAACAGATTTTCATCTCAACTTGAGGCTTCTTCATACAACAGTAAGAGGAATAATATATTTAGTGAAAACTATTTCCCCGCAAATTATAAACTATATATAAAACAGTCAGAGTTCCAAAATCTCTTGGCAGTGCTAAAGCTAACAGCAACAGGAATGGTTTATGTTAAAGTTATTGCATAACTTTGATATGGAACAGTTTTAAGAAATTGAAACTCATTAAATAATCTGTGTTAAACTTTAAATATTGACATTGCGTAAATTTCTTATCTATTGCTTGTCACATAGTGTCTGAGTACCCTTCACATAACATTGCTAGTGACAATGAAGTTTCTAGTGGATTTAATGGAATCTTTGACACATCTCTCTTTTCGGTGTAAAAAGTCTGCTTGTTATTTATTTTTAATTTCTTTAGATTTAAATAATTTTAAAAGTTGGTTTCCTTCAGAGTAATTTTTTGTTTATTGGAGGTTTTTTGGCAGAAGAGTGTGTCCATGTTGTGTGTCATTCTTATTTTCAAAGCTGCCTGGAAGCCTATGAAGGAACTTGAGCTAAGGTATAATGTGCTCACGGTGGCCAAAACCATAGAGAAGGCAAGTAGCCTTAGTTTAACATTTATCAACTGCAAAATGGCTTGTAACATAACTGATACAAAGAAAAAAAATCACATTTGGTGAAAATTCTTTAACCGTCTCTATAGTTGTCAAGTTCCAGAATTACAGACTAACTACAGCCGTGGTCCCCAACATGGTGCCCACGGGTACCATAGCGCCCGCGGGGGCATTTATATGTACCCGCGCCAGCGTTTTTAGAACTACTCACATTCACCCCTGCTTAGAGCAGGGTCAGCAGCCTGGGGCCCGCGAGGGAGCCCGACATGGCGCTTTGGAGGCTTGAGCCCCGCCCCCACCGCAGCAGGCAGCCCGTGCAGGCACTTCAGTAACCGGAGCAAACCCCATGCTGGTCAGGTCCCTCCCCCATGCAAAGCAGCCGTGGCGGGGCCCTTTGTGGTGCAGGAGCTGCGAGCCGGCAGGGGAGGGTCCCTCATGGCCGTTTCCACCTCCCCCCCCGCGCACAAGCCCATTGGCCGGACCTGAACAAAGGCAGCTGTGGGAACCTACCAATCCCCAAGCACATGGCCAGGCAGGTCCTGTGGGAGAAACAGGAGAGCAGCGCGTCTCGCTGCTAAGTGTCTGGCCCCCCAGCTACTACCACTCCGATATCTTCACCCACAGAACTCTCCTCCCAGACCCTGCACCCCAATCCCCTGCACAATCCAAACCCCTGGCCTGACCCCTCTCCCCCAGTAAAATGTCTGGTATTTTCAGTTTCTCAGCTGGAAAACCACTTGGGACATTCTTCCCCTGCCATGTGGAAGGGAGTGTGAAATTTAAATGCACCATGATTTTTTTGGGAGGGAGAGGGTGCTTTTTTTGCTTAACATTTGGACATCCCCCCCTTTTTATTAATACAGAATTTTTAAACAAATTAATTACAATATAATTAAAATAAAAATTATCCAACTAAATTAAGTTTCTATCAAATTTACCCAATTCACAGTTAATATGAAAAGAGCCTTCAACTTCACATTTGACGCCTTTTTTTGTTGGCGCCCGCCACACTCTTCTGAAAACATGAATGTGCTATTGGCCACAAAAAGGTTGGGGACCACTGATGTAGAGGCTCCAGAAACTAATATAGTCATTGGTCAGTAGTAATGGCGACATTTTGCAGTTGCACAGCTGCCCACACTGTCTTTGGTTTGACTGTCACCACCAACTCCAAAACTACCACAAAGCCACAGTATTTGGCTGTGGCAAGAACAGAAAAGATACAGAAGTTGGAGAAACCAGAGGGCCAACAATCTGTGAAGTCTGTCTATTGACACACTTATCATGGGAGATACTGTAGTGACATCTGCTACATTCCATGAGTTACAGCTCCATAGCCAGCACTGCTGACAGTGCCATAGCTGGAAATGGTGTAGCAGCCTGGATTGTAAAAATGATTCTGTCCCTAAATATTTTGCCAACAGTCTGAGACAAAGGGGCTTCGTATATGGTTTGAGTGGAGCAGGTGTGAAATTTTTCACATGTGCACCTAGGCCACAGGTATTACAGTGGTCATAGTTATTCAGGTGATCATGGCCCACTGTCTTTCCCTCTCTAAAGAATTCATGGCCTATGGATCTGTGCAGTTTACAGATCCACTGGACCCACCACCTTTCTTTGACACTCCCTCAGTGCATCTATAGATACTCATCCTCCCTCTCATAGGGAGGTGTCACAGAGATTGACTCCATGACACATAAAGGGCTGCCAAAGTTGAGAGAATGGCCTCTCCACTTTACACCTATTCTTTCTAGGGACAAGGTACTGTAATTCTTCCACTGCATGGACTTCCTTCCACTTCCAGCAGGATATTGCCCAATATTAAAATATACACAGGATCTTAAATATGACCTATAAGGGACTTAATTATATCAACTTTAGAAAGAATATTCTGTACTTTGCAAGAGCTGGGCTAAACAGGGTGTTCAAAATGTATTTCAAAATAAATAATCTCAATATTGTTATATTTTTAGTTTGAAAACAATGGAATAATAAGTACTTTGCAGTATTTCAGCCGCAGAATATGACAGAGACACAAGGTATATGAGGAAATTTTTTTATTGGGCCAACTTCTGCTCGTGAAAGAGACAAGCGTTCAAGTTTCTCCCTGAGGAAGAGCTTTGTGAAGCATGAAAGTTTGCCCTTCCTCCAAAAGAAATTGATCCAAAAAATATGTTCTCTCATCTACCTAAAATAATAAATGACAAAATTATATGGACAGAATCATAAATATCTCAGAGCAATCTTACCTAGGACACAAATCATTTGGCGTTATGCTTCCTGTCAGGCTCAACTCAGGAATTAAAACAGGTTCTCCAGGTTTCCTCCTTATGTTGAGGGCTTTTTCTCTAACTTGCTGCTCTACCTCCAGTCTATCAGCCATTTTAGGAAGGATGGGTTTTACTGGTTCCTCGCCATACTCTGACTCCTCCGTCGCTTCTTCTTCCTCTTGGTCTTGACTTTGTTTTATTTTCATTTTCTTCTTGGTTTTCTGTATATAAAAAAAACCACAGAGGTTTTCCTCGAAAGTGTTCTACTTGCAATTGTTTTGATCAAACTATACACTGTCAGTGGTCCCCAACCTTTCATGGCTGCCGGGCGCCCTGGGGTGGGGCCACTCACATGGCGGGCATCCGGAGCAGGGCCGCTCACGCGCCACGCTTCCGGGGGTGGGGACCACGCATGCACCACGCGCCCGAGGGTGGGGGCCGCCCATGTGCCCTGAGCCCAGGGCCGGCACCACACATGTGCTGTGAGCCCAGGGCAGAGGCCGTCTAGGTGCTCTGGGCTGGCACTGCGCATGTGCCGCGTGCCCGGGGCAGCGGCCACCCACGCGCCGAGCCCAGGGCCAGCATCACACATGTGCCACGCGCCAGGGGGGGCCAATCCAGATGTTTCGGCGGGAGCACATAAATGCTCCGGCAGGCGCCATGGCGCCCGCAGGCACCGCGTTGGGGACCACTGCACTATGTTTAGTTACTGCTATTTGGCTGTGTCTACACTGCACCCTTTTTCCAGAAAAGGGATGCAGATGAGACAAGTCGGAATTGCAAATGAAGCGGGGGATTTAAATATCTCCCGCTTCATTTGTATAAACAGGGCTGCCGCTTTTTTCCGGCTTGGAGCTTTGCCGGAAAAAGCCGCCAGTCTAGACGGGGATCTTTCGGAAAATAAAGCCTTTTCCGAAAGATCCCCGTCTAGACAGGCGCTTTTTTCCGGCAAAGCCCCGAGCCGGAAAAAAGCGGCAGCCCTGTTTATACAAATGAAGCGGGAGATATTTAAATCCCCCGCTTCATTTGCAATTCCGACTTGTCTCATCTGCATCCCTTTTCCGGAAAAGGGGTCCAGTGTAGACACAGCCTTTTACTTTCCTTACTCATATGGAACAAATGGTTAGTTGAAAATAATGTAAAGCTTTAAGAATAATGAAGAGTAAAGTTCTCCCATTCTTGGGTTCTACTTCATTTATTATGTGGCTAGTAGTTTTCATATAGATAAAAAGGGTTAGCTTGGCAATTTCAAAGAATACACTTACAAATTTTGAATTTTCCTGAATGGTTATTGTGAGACTTTCAGTTTTCCCTTTTGCCTCAGCTACTAAGTTTGGCTTTTGTTAGGGTTGACAGCCATTCCCAGAATCATACGGGGCTCTTTAACTGACTAGGTAAAGACCGTTTTAATTATTACTGTAATTCTTCTGGTCCCCAATAAGCCAAAATGCAAAAAACAAAATCCAGATCTCCCACAGAGCAGCTGTATTTTCACTAAGCCATTATGTCAGCAATTTTTTCTATTTTAAAAGTGATTACTATTGTAAGATATCATGTATACAATGAGCTGGTCTTCATTTCTTTTCTCTCCTCTACTAATAAGTGCAATTATCATATTTCAAATTTGGTCTTACTGACTTCCCCGGTGCTCCAGTGTTCTTGCTGCTATGAGAAGCATTCAGATTTACAATATGGGGGAACTTATTCTGGGAAGCAATACTCTGAAAAAGATGGTCATGGTGTATAATTAGTTGAACATGAGCTGCCAGTGCAATGCTGTGTCCAAAGGCGCTAATGCAATCCTTGGATGCATGAACAGGGGAATCTAAATTAAAATAATGGAGATTGCCTATTTCCTAGAACTGGAAGGGATCAAGTCCAGTCTCCTGCCTTCAGAGCAGGACTAAGTACCATCCCTGACAAATTTTTGCCCCAAATGGCCTCCTCAAAGACTGAACTCACAACCCTGGGTTTAACAGGCCAATGCTCAAACCACTGAGCTATCCCTCCCCCTAAATTCAGCTGGAGTTGGTATAGAGATTGCTTTGCCTCTGTGTTTGGGATGGGTGCTAGAATACTGTGCCTAGTTCTAGTGTCCCCAATTCAAGATGAATTTAATAAATTGTAGATGGTTCAGAAAGTATTAGAAAATATGTCTTATAGCAAGAGACTCAGGGTATGTCTACACTGCCACCCTAGTTCGAGCTAGGGTGGCTAATGTAGGCATTCGAAGTTGCAAATGAAGCCCGGGATTTAAATATCCCGGGCTTCATTTGCATCTTGCTGGGCGCCGCCATTTTTAACTCCCCGTTAGTGCGGACTCCGTGCCCGTGGCTACACGCGGCATGGAGTAGGTAGTTCGAATTAGGCTCTCTAATTCGAACTACCATTACACCATTTGCTCAATTCCTTTTTGCAGACTGCTCCAACAGAGGGGAGGGCTGGTGGGCTTTAGAATGGACAGGAGTAATGTATTTTGTACAACAGTTATGAGAGGTACATAACCATTTTTTCTTCCAGTCATGTCCATTCCAATAGATGACTCCCTGGCTGTTTCAATGGAGGGGGTTGAAGTTCACCACGTAGCTGATAGCAGAACTGCTCTGCCAAAGGCTGCATCATCTCTCTCATGTTGAGTGATGGCATAATGCAACGTGAAGGTCTGAAGACAACATTGCTGCCCTACATATGTGATAGATAGGGACTTGTGTGAGGAATGCAGCAGAGGAGGCCTGCACTCTTGCACCACAGAGCACCACTCTGTTTGTACAGAATATCACTGTGGTGGTGTCTATCAGTATTGAGACACACATGCCCTGTAATTGGGGCTGGAATGTCTGGCAAGCTAGGCAAACCACTCTCAGCACTCTGACACTGATGGGCAGCAACAGTTCTGACTCTGACCACAGGCCTTGAGTCCTTATGCTGCCCAGATGTGCTCTCCAGCCCATCTCCGATGCATCTGTGACCATGGACAGCGAGGGTGGAGGCTTGGCAAAGGGCACGCCTACACAGACCACCTCTAGTTGCAGCTACATGCTGAGGGACTTGAGAATTGCAGGAGGGAGGGTAACCAGTCTGTCTAGAGAGTCTCAGCTAGGTCTGGAGTGCTGCATGATGTAGGTGCAGGCCACCACATGCCCCAGAAGCTTAATATAATTCCTTGCCGTGATGGCTAGGAACTGTGGGAGGCTGTTTATGAGGCCTTTGATGGTTTGGAACTGGGTTTCAGGCAAGGATGTTCTTGCCTGTGTGGAAGCTCCAATGAACTCTGTTTCTTATGTCAGGATCAGTGCAGACTTAGGTATATTCAGAATGAGTCCTAGCATGCTGAAACTGGCTCATGCCAGTGCCACATGCTCCAGTTCTGATTCTCAGGAATTGCTCTTGAGGAATCAGTTGTTCAGGAAGACCTATGCCTATGAATATGTGTGGAGTTGTTGAGACCCCGAATGGTAGCACTGAATTGATAGTGCAGGCTGCTGACTACAAATCTCAGGAACTTCCAGTGAACTGCAATGATCAATATATGGCAGTAGGCATTCTTTAAGTTGAGAGAAGTGTACCATTTCCCTGGATACATGGAAGGTAACCTGGTGGCTAGGGAGATTACATGAATCTTCAACCTTCTTCTGAACACTGAGGTTTTGCAGATCCCGCATGGACCTGTGTCCACCCTTTGCCTTGGGCAAAAGGAAATATCAGGAATAGAATTCCCTGCTCCTGAATTCCTGAGGAACTCCCTCTATTGCCTCCAAGATGAGGAGCAATTGCATCATCTGTAGTAGGAGTTGCTCATAAGAAGTTTCCCTGAAGAGTGACAGACTATGGGGAAGGGAGGGTGACAACAGCACAGAACTGGATAGAATATCTCACCTCCACCATTGTTCAGGACCCAGTGAAGTAATCTGGACTTCTGCCAGGAGTCCAGAGACCCGCAGCCACGAGCACATAGCTGTATCTTGTTCTACTTCGCTACATCGATTGCACTTAAATACCATTAAATATATTTATTTAATATATGTTAATTTAGTAACAGTCCTAAACATAATTTACCCAACTGAACTCCACTACAATTTTTAACAGCTATACTGATCTTTAAGATATTTCTACCATAAAAACAATTTTTTATAATTAATAGGTTCTGCGGTTTACACAAACCTGTGCCTTTTTCCAGGATTTCCACTCTTGTAGCTCAGTTTTGTATTCTTCCTTTTTTTTTTCATACTCTTCCATATATTCTTCTAATAGCTCATTTATTTCAGCCTCAATTTCTGCTTCATAATTTTTTTTATCTGATCTCTGGTCAACCTCTTCCCTTCAAAACAATTAATTATAATTTACAAATATATTGGTACACTATTGTTGGTCCTTTGCATTACAGCAAAAATGTATTTTGTTGATAAATGCATTCACATATAACATGCTTTTTTCAGCATATAGAATACAGCATTATTACTAAGTTATCTTTTTCAACATTTCTAAAGCTCTAAACACAAAGTAGGTCTTTGGAATTCTAATAAATGTCTTATTACAAAGTAACAAATCCTACAGTGTCCTGGATTATATTAAGGGTTCCTAGTTGCTACAATAATACTAATAAATAATAGTACAAATAATACATGGACATACAAATTATTCCTTACGACAATTTTTAGCTATTCTTTTTCCTTTGTCATGCACATTATAATGAATTCAGAGCTAATTACATGAGAGCATAAAATGTGTGAGATATTCTAAGAAGAACAACTTATATCTAATATTTAGTTATAAGACTTCAAAATGGCATGAGGGAGAAGGTTAGTTTTAAGATTTGTGAGAGATGCTGATCATAACTACCCATAACGAACTTGGGACATCATCCTCTAGCAATTTCTCTCAGTTATTATAATTATTTAGGGTATGTCTAGACTACATACCTCTGTCGCCAGAGGCATGCAGATTAGGCTACCAGGCATAGGAAAATGAAGCGGCGATTTAAATAATCAGCTGTTTGTCGGCTCAGCGCGGCAGCCATGTAAATTTAAATGAAGCGGCGATTATTTAAATCGCCGCTTCATTTTCCTATGCCTGGTAGCCTAATCTGCATGCCTCTGGCGACAGAGGCATGTAGTCTAGACGTACCCTTATTGTTTAAAAAAAGAGTAGCAGGTTCTGGTATCACCTAAAAGTTATCATTGTGCCATTTTGTGAACTCTCAAATATGGCAATAAAATCCATTGCAGGCACATGAAGTAACAACAATGTTATTAAAACATACTTTCTCAAATAAAGCTTGATGGGTGTGTTAGTAAACTTCTGAAAGTCACGCAGGGATTTAATTTCCTTCCAAACTTTTATAATAGTTTTCAGCAATGTTCGATCTTTTTCTTGTTCTGCATCACGAAGTCTTCTGGTTTTCCTATAAATATATATGTATGTACAAACATTACTTACATAACTAGATGGAACAAGACAGCAAGAACTTATAATACCAAAAAAATCACATGGAGTGGTTTTCAATCTGGTTGACTTCATTACAATCCAAGATAGTGTATAACAAATTCAAACTTGAAGATGATAGGATGTGGCTTTCTTTAAAGCTCTGTATTCTTTTCTGTTTATTTCTGGACAATGTGACTTTAATTACAGTTAATTCTCTTGAACTCTCAATCTCTTATAAAAGACTTATTAAAGCCATACATTATTAAAAACATTTTAAAGTCAGTGTGTGTAAACAGCAACCCAGGAAAATTATTCTTCTGCTATGAAGTAATGTAAATCAAATTATGGCCCTGGAGGATTCAAAACACTAACACAATTAACAACTTTTGACTTGGAAAGGATATTTGACTTTTGGAACCATTTTTGTCTTCCATTGCATTTGGTATTGCTTTTTCTTAAGAACTTGCATATACGCTTATGTTCTCCTTGAAGACCACACTAAACTTTTTCTATATATATGACTATTTAGGATGCACATAACTTTTTCTCAGTACTGCTTTGGCCATAACAATTGTCTTTTTTTAAAATATAACCTATACAGTACTTAAACAGCCTCTCTGTTAACAACTGGATATTCAGTAGCTTATATCTATTATTTGTACTAACTTTGCTTTTACCTTTTTATAGAGATTCAATATAGGCCTTCCAATACACCCATGCTTCACAACCTGTGCTGGACAGTATGAGTCAATGTCTTACACAGGAGACCCATCAATTTACTAATAGGGCACATGAGATCACTGCAACTGGAACTGCTGATTATAGAGGCTTACCACACTTCAGTGATACTCATCTTACTTTGCCAGAAGTCTATGGCATGTTTCCAGCCAACAACCAAAATGTAGCTTCCTTTGTAGTTAAGTTCATTACAGTGTTTGTTTTGCTCCTTCTCCTAGATTTCTTTGGGGTTGATTCCTGTGTAACTTATATAGTTTTAAATGCATGTGCTAACTAGGGATGTACTAAATGAATAAAAATATTAACTGTGTAACCGATAAAAATGTATTGGTTACACGGTTAAGCCGCAGTGCTGCCCACAGCTTCATGGAGAGTTTAACCATTAACGGTAACCAATAAGCAACCACTTATCAGTTAACCAGTTAAACTCTTACATTCTAGCAGTGTTCCCTCAAAGATTTTCCTCTCATGTGTGGAGTGAGTTTGGTCTTTTGCATCAGTATTGAGGTCATGTGTGCTTGTTTGGATGTGTGCTACTGTGGCACCCAAGTTACTAAGAAATATCTTTCCCTTTTCCTTCTGTGGCCTGTCTCCTCTCTTCTGCTCCCCTCATCCCATCTGCTCCCCTGGTGCTTGCTGCGGTCCCCCACCACTCACCCTCCTCTGCTGTCCTGGCTCCTGCCCTTCTCACACCCTTCAGAGATCTGCCCCCCCATCCTCCTTGATCCCTGCACCTGCCCTTCTCTTCCCCCATGCCCACTCCTCCTCTAGCCCCACTCTGATCATCTGTAGCTGCCCCTCCCCATCTCCTCTCCTAACACCCCCCTCTACCCACCTTCCCTGGCTCTCTTCTGTCCGCTGGTGCCCGTCCCTCCCCTCCATGTGTCTTCCCTTCTGCATCAGCCTCACAATCGCCTGGCACCTGCACCTTTCCTTATCTCTGCACCTTCCTGGTGCCTCCCTTTTCCCTCACTGCCCCTGCCCTCCTTGCCCCTGGTGCCCACCCCCTCGCCACACTCTGACCCAGTTCTCCTCATACCCCTTTGGGCCCTCACACATGACTTGCTCCATCCCCTGCCTTCCTCATGCCCACCCTTCCTTTCAACCCCTCTTCTCCCAGCACTCACTCCTCCTCTTCCTCCCTCTTGTTCCTATTGTCCGTCCTCTCTCCTAGCATCACCTCGTCCCCTCCCTTTTTGTACCCCATTGACACCTTCCTTCCCCTTCACCCTCCTGCCCTTTTCCTAATTTCCTCCTCTTGGACCCCTGGCAGTTGACTCTCCTCCACCCTAGCCATTGGTGCCTGCCCCTTTCTACTCCTGCCCTGGCCTCCTCCTCTACCCTTAGCACAAGCCCCTTCCTCTCCTCACCATCACCTTCCCCTGAGTTCTCCCCCTACCCTCCTAACTTTCTACCTTCGACTAGGGATGTTAAATTTAGATTAATGGGCTAATCAAATAGTTGATGCAATTCGCATCGACTATTCAATTAGTTGATAAGGGCACCTTCACCTTTGAAGTGTAGTAATAGCCCAGGGCTGCTGCTAAACTTCATATGCAAAAGTGCACAGGGCCAACAAAGGACTTAAGCAGTCCCCTTCTGGCCCCATGCTCCCCATGACATTTCAAAGTGGCAGCACCGCATGGAGCTCAGGCGCCATGAAGTGCTGCCACTTTGAAACACCAAAGGGAGTCCAATGTCAGGCTCCATGAGCCGTTTCAAAGTGGCAACACCGCATGGAGCCCAATGTCAGTGGGGGACTCCCAGCTAACCCCGGGCTGCATGTGGCATTTCAAAGCAGCAGACTCCGGGCTCCATGCAGCGCTGCCACTTTGAAGCACCCCCTCCTCTCCCTAGAGGCAGCAAGTGGGGGAAAGTGACTAATCGATGAGTGTGTCAACTATCTGATAACTTATCAGATAATCGACTAGTCATTCACATCCCTACCTTCAACGTGGAAAGCGGTTTTGCAAGAGCTAGAGCTGCGGTGCTATTTTTAGTATCACAGTCCCGGCCCTGGAAGCTCCTGTAGTCCTGGTCCCAGCTGCTCCCGGGGTGGGACTGAGTGCCAGGGCTGGAGCAGAGGCCATGCACAGTACTATTTTTAGTACCATGGTCCCGGTCCCCATGGGACTCAGTACTAACAACAGCACCCCATGGGCAGCCCCAGCTTCAGCTGAAGTAAAGCAGCAGCCACAGGAGGCCCGTTCCAGCTGGGGCAGCCTCACCGGAACAGCACCACCTCTTGCGTCCCGACTTCAGGCAGAGCAAAAGGGCAGCTGTCCACTGCCAGAAACCCACCAGGCCACTTGCTAATGCTACTGCTTCTGCCACCACTACTCACCTTCGGTTCCAGCAGGAAGGTGAGTGATGAGTGCTGCTGTGCGGCGATTAAAATGACATGGGTGGACCTAAAATTTTTAGTACGCAGACATGAAGCTTAGAGGGAATGCTGATCCTTAGTGTTAATATGCCCAGGTGGAAATTTCTACATAGCTATTTTGAGGTCAAATAGCTTGAGCCCCGAGAGCTTGAGTCAGTTGGCCCTAGCTCTCAAACTTACTACCACTGGGGCTCTTTGTTGTATAGATGTACTCTTAAGTTTCATTTCAATAATATCGTCAAATATTTGGACCTCAGTACTAACAACTAATAAAATATTTGTTATAAAGATGATTCAATAAAAATGCTTAATTTTAATCCAATCAGAGTCTTTGCATTACTCTCTTGATATGGGTGTAAAGCTTGATATGGATGTAAAGCTAAATATGATTCAGCACTTTAAAAAAGTAGAGTAGCCCTGTGACACTGCAGCACAAAACTATACTTTTTAGCCCTATGATCTTATATGGTCTGCAGTGACAGCAACTTATGAGAAACTAACAAAAACATATTCAGAATCTACTGACATCAGCCAAAATGCAAAGGTTCTTAGAGTTTAACTGATAGCATTTCGGCAATCAATTAGCTTCCTTGGTCCAGAAAGGAACAATGCATTTTTCAAATCTGTAAGGCTACGTCTACAGAGCAGTGTTCGGAATGACAGACATTATTCTCAAATAACAAAGAGCACGTCTACACAGCAAGCCATTCTTCCAAAATAATGGCAAGCTAGAGGACTTCTTACTCTGACTCCTGTAACCCTCATTTCACAAGGAATAAGGGAAGTCGAAGGAAGAGTGTTCTTCCTTTGACTTCTGCTGTGTAGACAACGCCAAAAGCCGAAGTAAGCTATTTCAACTTTAGCTGTGCAATTGACATAGCCAGAGTTGCATAGCTTAATTTGACTTTTGCCCTGCTGTGTTGACATGCCCTAGAAGGAAGTCTTTTTTCTAATAAAGCAAGGAAGCATACCACTGAAGCAGCATGTGTCCAAATAAGGACCAATATCCAAGGGTTAAAGTGGAATTCATGAATCAGTTAATTTATCTCATTTCTGTGGTTACTGAGGACCAGTATTTGAAATGACTCTGTCATTGGAAATAATGCATAGGGACTAAAAAGAGTTATTTAAAAATGCCTTCCTGAATATTTGAGGTATGTCTACACTGTAGAGTTTTTTCAAGAAAAACAGCCGTTTTTCTGGAAAAACTATGCTTATGTCCACACTGCAATTGTGTTCTTTTGACAAAGTTGAAAGAACACAGGGTTTTTTTCCGATAGCGGTAAATCTCTTTCTACGAAGAAACAGCCCTTTTCCGAAAGGGTTGGATGGGGAAAAGGGTTCTTTTCAAAAGAGGAGGCCTCCAGGAAAAAGCACAGGTGCCCTAGTGGCCACTCTGCCCATAGTAATCAAAGCTTAAACACGAGATAGCATCCAATCAATGTGTATGCTATCTTTTGAAAAAGCAGATCGCTTTTTCAATGCATTTTTGCTGTGTGGACACTCTCTTTCTGGAAAAGCTTCTTCCAAAAGAGGCCTGCAATCTAGACATAGCCTTGATTTTCCACAAAAGACACAAATACAAATTAGATCTGAAACATATTTGTTCATAGTATATAAAGTCCAGTGTGTTACTGAAACTATTACTTCATCCAGTTTTACAGCCAGGATGACTGGGAGAGAGGTCAAGTGACTTTTCCACAAAAGTCTCAATTATTGAGTATTCCAAATGGAAATCAATTTTAATCCAGAACAATTCTGATTCCTAGCTGTAATCTGAGCTCCAACCACTAGCACAGCAATCACCATTACAATTCTACACTTACCAACACTGATATTGAGAATACCATCATTAAGTCTAATTATAAGTGGAGGGAAATATCAGAATCTCTCTTATAATAATATTGCAACTGTTGGGAAAATGTTAATTATTTAATGGTAACTATGGTACTCACTCTACTTTTGTTAATGTATTGAATAGGTTCAGAAATCCTATGAATCTTTATTGTGAGCTAAGCATTAGGTAATTCAAACTCAGAGTTAAATATTTTAATTAAAGGAGTATAATTTAAGAGATTTTAGCATCTAAAGTAGACCCAAAGATTACACAATTATGCTGATAATTTAGGGGTTTCCTTCATAGTAAGCAGGCATTTTTTCTACCTGCAGAATAGAAACTAAGGATTACTCTTGCAATTCACTGCATGCAAGTGCACCCTTGTGCCTGGATGCAGCTCTTATACTTCAATAGGATTCTGTCTGGGTAGAGGTGTGCACTTTTATGCTAGATCAGATCTTAAAATTTGATCCTGCTACTAGCGACACACAGACAGGCTCTGATATCAGCGGAGTCCCACTGATTCAAAAACAAAAATGTATACAAATTCTTACGGCCCATGAATTCTACCTGAGACTGGAGTGCCAAAAGGGGCCTTCACTTAGCAATGGCTCTAGCTATGTAAGATAAAATCTCTCTTTTGAATTGACTTAATATCGAACCTGCCACAATTAGGCCACACAGGAGAGAATAACAGCTGTTCCCAACTGATGACAGATACTGCTCAGATGTTGACAATTCTGTCAGAAAGCCAAAAGTGTTCCAAAACTTTTTCCATAAATACATTGTTCCTTTAGGAGCAGTAAAACATTCACAGCTTTGACTAACATGTTTTACAAATCAGCCTTTGCAACAAGAAAATAAAAGTACAATTTAACTTTGTATTATCACTAGCTAAATAAAAATTATGTAAATGTTGCTTGTAATAAATTGGAGACTGAAACCAATTACATCTAATATTAACCCAAGTCCACAATGTGTAATTTAAAGAAAAAAATACGTTTAGTACACATGAAAAATAATAAAATAACAGGCCTGTACACTTAGTTTCTTTTTACCAGCTGACCACTAGAGACAGCAGTAAATGTTTCCCTCATACTTTACCAAATTCAACACAAAGGCAATTAAGACAGTATTACAAGAATGTATGTAGTTTAGCTTATGTCTGAGGCCTGTATGATCTAGTACAAACTGGTCTCTGACTCAAGTTTAGGCTCTTAGAAATGTCACATGATTGACAAAGTACTGACTACATTTAACACAGGTCTCTATTGGCTGAAATCAGATTTGATCATGTTTGTAACTAAATTGCTTTCTAGTAGTCAGCCTACCAGGAAGAAAAATCCTTAGAGTAAAACTCCCAGGGCATGTCTAGACTGCATCCCTCTGTCGGCAGAGGGATGCAAATAAGGCAAATCGACATTGCAAATGAGGCAGGGTTTTAAATATCCCGTGCCTAATTTGCATACAAATGGCCGCTGCGTTTTGCCAACTCAGCACTTTGTCTGCAAAAAGCGGCAGTCTAGAGGGGGGATCTGTCGAGAAAGAAAGCCTTTTTCAATAGATCCTGTAAACCTCCTTTCAGGAGGCATAAGGGTTCTGTTAAAAAAGGCTTTCTTTCTCGACAGATCTCCTCTAGATGGCCGCTTTTTGCCGACAAAGTGCTGAGTCGGTAAAACGGGGCAGCCATTTGTATGCAAATTAGGCACAGGATATTTAAATCCCTACCTCATTTGCAATATCGACCTGCCTAATCTGCATCCCTCTGCCAACAGAGGGCTGCAGTCTAGACACCCTCACTGACTGCAATGGAGCCATTTCACCCTTACTACCATAAACTAAGGTTCTCCACAAGTGGAAGAAATTTGAATTCTCCATACTGCATAGGTGTAGTGTAGCTAACAATGATGGTGTCTGTTTGTGACTATTAATTTTTTATAAGAGCACAATAAAGTTAACAGAGAAAAAAACAGCAGAACAATCATTTCATTGCTCAGGTTTCCAGAACTACTATTTTCAATAAGGCAATGGAATGCTAGGAAGAAGGGCACAAACATTATGTATATTAAATCTGAATAATTTTAAAAGTTGATATATATTTATAAATCATGTTATATGTATATGACACTTCAATGCTGTATACAAATTTCTGGTTATTCAATCAGAAAAAATCATAAAATAAAAATGATTTTTGGAATGTAATGTGAAATACCTCACAATCTGATTTTGTATGCATATTTCTTTATTAGCACCCTGGGCTGTTTATTTCATAGGCATTAATATTTCACCATAAAAATCTCAACTTTGGCATGGGTTATAGATCTGTACACATTCAGAAATTAAAAAAGGAACAAAATTATGAAAAAAGGATCTAATAAATCTTTACCTACCTTATTTCAAATTTATATTCAGTTAATCTCTGTCGTGCTACAAGGGTAGGGACATTGATTCCACTGATATCCAAACTATTCTGTACAGCATTCCTCAGAGCATGTAGCTTAAACAAAAAACAAAAACAAACCAACAATTTGTAGATGGTTTCCAAATTTATGGACGACCCTGTACTGCACACCATTCAATCTTAAATGAATCAGTTAGTCATATGATAGAAAACTGTTACTCCAACAAGGTAAGTGGAAACAAATTAAGGATGTAGTTTCTGTATCCACTTTGTATCTCCTCAAAATGATAATTTCAGAGATTCATGAGTGAAAATAAAAACTACAGAAACCTCACAGACCAGTACTCATGATTACATAGTCATGATAATGGAGTGAACTTGAAACAATCAAATACAAAAAAGGATCACTCATATAACTGCTTGTAAACATTTTGTCTATATTACATCACCTGGATGGACAAAATGATCTGATAGCAAAGACTGCTCTATAAATAGAAAGGCTAAATATATCAACATGGTAATTAAACACACTGTATGAAAAATCTGTTCAAGTTTGCAGATGACACTAAGCTAGGGGGGAGAAGTAGATATGCTAGAGGGCAGGGATAGGGTCCAGAGTGACCTAGACAAACTGGAGGATTGGGCCAAAAGAACTCTGAGGAGGTTCAACAAGGACAAGCGTAGAGTCCTGCACTTGGGACGGAAGAATCCCAAGCATTGTCAAGCTGGGGACTGAATGGCTAAGTAGCAGTTCTGCAGAAAAGGCCCTGGGGATTACAGTGGATGAGAAGCTGGATATGAGTCAATGGTGTGCCCTTGTAGCCAAGAAGGCTAATGGCATATTAGGTTGCATTAAGAGGAGCATTGCCAGCAGATCCAGAGAATCCAGAATCCAGTGATTATTCCCCTTTATTCAGTTCTGGTGAGGCCACATCTGGAGTATTGCGTCCAGTTCTGGGCCCCCAACTACAGGAAGGATGTGGATACATTGGAGAGGGTCAACCAAAATGAACAACCAAAATGATGAGGGGGCTGGAGCATATGACCTATGAGGAGAGGCTGAGGGATTTGGGTTTGTTTAGTCTGCAGAAGAGAAGAGTGAGGGGGGATTTGATAGCAGCGTTTAACTTTCTGAAGGGAGGTTCCAAAGAGGATGGAGAAAGGCAGTTCACAGTAGTGATGGATGGCAGAACAAGGAGCAATGGCCTCAAGTTACAATGGGAGAGGTCTAGGTTGGATATTAGGAAAGACTATTTCACTAGGAGGGTGGTGAAGCACTGGAATGGGTTACCTAGGGAGGTGGTGGAATCTCCATCCCTAGAGGTGTATAAGTCTCAGCTTGACAAAGCCCTGGCTGGGTTGATTTAGTTGGGCTTGGTCCTGTCTTGGGCAGGGGGCTGGACTTGATGACCTCCTGAGGTCTCTTCCAGCTCTATGATTCTATGATAAGATTCACATTTAACAAAATATACTTAACAGAAATGCAAAAAAGTATTTACTTACCTTCCACCTGTCACGCTGATATATAAGCACCTCACAAAAAACATTAATTTTTCTTCATAACACTCATAGAGGATAGGGAATTGTTTTTACCAATATTATACAGACAGGAATCTGAGGCACAGTGAGATTAAATAACTTGCTTGATGTCACTCAGGAAGGTTTTGGCAGGCTGAACTACATCTGAGTCCCCATCTAATGCCTTAACTACAAAACTGTTCTTCCTCTCAAAAAAATTAATTCTTTTTGGTATTTTCTTTCACCCTAACCTTGACAATGAGTGAAAAGTAAACCTACAGTAAGCATCAGCAGTTTGATTATTTCAGCTACAACATTAAATAAGAATGGGATAAGGAATTCCTATTTTCAGTTGATTGTAACTTTCTTAAATCATATTTTGCCCCTTCAGTTTCTCAGGATTGATCTTAAATTTCTCATTCTCATGCCTGAAATAATGGTTCATACCACAATGCCTTTATTTATTACAACACAAACTTTTTGGTGATAATATATGAAATATAACAATATATAAATAAAATCTGAATATTTAGTAGATATAAAACTAGAAACTGGCATTTTATTTATGACTGCTTTCCTTGAAAATGTCAATGTAAGGAATGCTTTTCAATACAATAGAAAAAATAATAACTGTATTCCTTTTACACCTACAACTGAGACTAAGCTTCACTTACCTCTCTCCAGCTCTGTATGCCTGTTTTCCCTTTCTGCCTGTATGAGTCAATGGACACAACCTGGTAAAGCCATATCTTTTATCTACCATTCACTGCAAAACATTTTTGATATTCTGTATGAAGGATGTTATGTAAATTCTCTTTTTATTATAACAATTATACTGTCTTGTACCTCAGATCCCTTTTGAGATCCTACTTTAAATATATAATCTTAAACAAGTAGCTCTGCACTGAACATGGAGTAATGTTCACTATGCCTGTTGGACATATTCTAATCAGCTTTCAATTGAAATTCATTTGATCTGATGTTAAATAACAAATATTTGGGGAAGGGGTAAGCTTTCTAGAAAAACAGGATTATTTTCAACGATATATATACATGTCACAAAGCTAGAAGTTACATTGATACATTTTTAAGACTAAAATTCAGTTTAAAGCTTAAACTAACTACTGAGTATCTCAATAAGCTAGAGTAAACAATGAAACTACCTTATCTGTAAGGAGTTTGGTAAGGTTTTGTTGTCTTCTTGCTAGATATTGATCATACAATTGAGCCAATTTGGCTGCCAGAACATGTTCACGGCTAAAACAGGGATGATGGGTGAATATTAACCCAGAAACATCAATGTCCAGTTGAAACTGTCCCTGAGTATCTCCAGACCCGATAATATATTGGTTGGCATGCATAGGTTTTATTGCCTGAAAAGAAGAAAGAGTGAAACGTATCGAGATTATTCTGATGAGTGCATTACAGCTTGTAAAGATGGCAGTGAGATAAGCAATAACCCACTTTTCTACACCTAAATCATAATGCAATCAGAGCTGAGTTTTTACAACAGGAAAAATGTATTTTGTTTAATTAAAAAATCCTTTATCTGACAATTCAGATCCACAGACCCATTAACAGATCTATCATCTATACTGTATTAAAAATAATAAAAGGCAGAACGGGATCTATCAATCAACAGAAGATAGGGCAAACCAAACTGACCTGAAGGTCCTACGCAATAACTTCAATTATCCTTGACTAAAAGTTACATGATAAACATTATATTAGTAAAACAGTATGCAACAATACTAATACATGATTACTCTTCCCCGTCAATGAAGTGTGTTTCATCTGTTTCTGCAGTGCAGGCTCATTAATAGACCTGTGAAATTGGATTTGATGGAAAATTATATATCTGTAATTGTCACCAGTCTAGCCGATGAGCAACTTTCAGACTGTTATTGCAGAAGCAGCTGTAAGAACTTTTATCTCACAAAAGGGGGAGCCTTGTTTTATGCTAATGTACCATGGTATCTCCAAAAAAGGAAGGAAAATTTTAAGAAAGAAGTTATTGAAGTGAAATTAGCTTATTTGAATTTGCCTACACTAGGTTATTTTTTCTTTGCACAAATGTAGTACACCAACACAGCCTCACTGTGCAAACTCGTAGGCTTTACATTCTGCACCAATGTAAAGACACTTGAACTAGTATAGCATAGCACAGTGCAAGTCGTATTTTTACATCAATGCACCACATTTAGAGGGTTTTACTGGTGTAGGCACAACGATATAAGACTTCCATTGTAGGTAGATCCTTGAAATAGTCATTCAATTTTATAGTTAAGGATTCCTGAATATATAGTAACCAATACAGTAAAACCGATTTTTTGATCTTTGTTATCTGGCACTCTGTTAACCCAAAAACTTCGTTAACCGGCATTGCCCCCAGCCACAATACTGTCACATCTTCAGGCGCACAGGTTTACCATGACTGGCTTAACAATTTTTTATTTAAGAAGTACTAATCATCTTTAACTCAATATAGAAATGTGAGACCAACTGCCTCACACTACAAAACTACCAATATTAAAAACTTGAGTTTTACAATTATTGTCTATTGGTTTTTCCTATGTTGATGGGACCCTCAGATAACTGGAATTTTTAGATAACCGGAACGCCCTAATCCCTGAGCATGCCAGATAACACAGGTTTTACTATACTATGGTCACAATCACAACATATATGAAAGATAGCCTACCTTTCTATACAATGTTTCAAGTTCAGGTTCAATGCCTTCCTCCAATGAAAATATTGGAGGTCTTGTAGAAGATTGTTTAATTGGACTAGGCAATGCTAAGAGTTTGCCATCATCTCCAAACCATCTTTTCCCCTATGAATAATAAAGTGAGACAACAGTTTTTTGTAACACTTATACAGGAATGACTTACAAAATTACTATTATTCCAGAAAGTAAGATCCCACATTTCAGGAGACATTTAGCTTTTAATTCCTTTTCCTTAATCAAGCATACAAGAAAAACAATTTAAGCATAAATAACGTGCAACTGGCATCCCCAGCATATTTTAGCTGATTCAAATATAAAATTCTGACCATCCTGTAGTTTATTGATAAATCCTAGCCCAAAAGGAAATACATCTAAAGATTCCACCTGAACCCTGCATATACGTCCACTTTTCCTAATCTCCCAATCCTGCACTTGTTAAGAAAAATGCTTATACAGACAAGGCATAGGACACAAACTGCAATCTTGTTTATATCACTAAAAATACAAAAAAATTAAAAGATAGGGATATTGATAGTTATTCAACAAGATGGTTAGGTATCCAACCTTGTGCTCTGGGAGTCCCTAGCCTTTGAATGCCAGAAGCTGGAAGTGTATCATTCAACAATTACCTGACGCAACAAGCATTCGCCACTTTCAGAAGACAGGATATGCACTAGATCAGGGCTACTCAACTTAGGAAGCCCTGGGGGCCACAATGATACAGCACATGCCGAGGGCCGCAACTTAAGTGTGGTTTCATATACATGCAAATATATGAAAATATATGCAAATAGCTTATTTCACACTAATGGACAAATAAAAAAATTAAGGCAAGACTATACAACAATCAGGCCCCATTTAAGTCAGTTCTGCTGATATTAATAAAATGCAGTATTTACTTGATTTCCACCCATATGACAGCACCTTTAAAGAGCAATGACAGTCCAGGAATTTAACTACTAAAACACATATCAGCAGAAGACCATTATATTAACTACTTTTTTGTTTTGGCTCCCACCCGTGAGCCAGGTGTTGAGCCCTGGGTAAACCCAAATCAATCCGAGGGCCGCAAACAAACAGGCTGCAGCCCTGCACTAGATAGACCACTGGTCTGACCCAGTATGGCTGTTATATTCTTAATCTCTCTAATCAAGATGCTATGCCAATCTTAAAATAGTCATTTTATACTGCTCACTTTTGGCTTACGTCAATTTTCTAATATACAATAACAATAACCAGCTCTTACATAACAATTTTCACCAGCCAACAGCAAAGTACTTTATAAAAAAGGGTTTATTAACCACATCTAACAGCTTGAAAACTGAAGCACAGAGCACTGAAATGACTTGTTCAAGGTCATCCAGCAGGCTTTTAGTAGAGCAGAGAATAGAAGCATGGTTTTCTGAGTGCCAGGCGGGTGCTCCATCTGATAGGACATAGTGTCTAACTATAGTTTCTTCAGATCATTTTGATTTAACCTGTTATTGCACTATTACCAGCAGAACATTGCTAGAGACAAAGAAAACACATTTTTATTCTCTGTAGAAAGATAATGTTTAAGTGGTTGGTATCTGGCCTGAAACACTGAGTTATTGCCAGTTCCCCCCAAAAGTGCTTACTTTTTTTACTAAAAACTTTCCAAAATTCTGAGACTGCTCTCAGACCAGTTTTTAAAAATATATGGGTCCTGAAGGATAACAAAATAAAAAATTAATAAACTCAACAAGGAAAGGGCCTGAATTTTGAACACTCTTGTTTGTAACATTAAAAAATTTCCAACCTGAAATAGACACGAGTAATAATGCAGTGGTGAATTACCTGCTCCTCTCTCAGTATTCTGTTCTCTAGAATGTTTTGATTAGATAGTGATACAACGGGCCTTTCTCCTATGTAAAGACCCTCATCTTCTAGGTACCGTGGCTGCATGTTTTCAGGCACCTTCTGAGACATAGGAACTAAATAGCAAACAAAGATTCAAATATGTAAGATATTTTATAGCTGGAGATATAATTGATCAGTGTTCTAAGGACTTGTATTGCTTTTTAAAAACTACCTTGATATTTTGCTGCTGCAAAGGGAATACATTAAAATATTGTCTGAAATTTGCCTGATGATGGCAATAACTAATATTGTTTATATACATATAATAAAACAGCTCTTATTTCCAAATAAGGATAGATCTGTAAGTAGACATTAATAATAACATTCTACATATGCTCTATATCAGGGGTGGCCAATCCATTTAACAAAAAGAGCCAAAACAGCTGCCCCTTTAAAACGGCCGCCATCTTGGGCGCCATTTTTAAAACCCCGCAGCTCCAACCCAGTAAGCACAGGGAATCCGGGGACCAGGGGGAAGCAGTGGGGGATGGGCCATTTAGAGGGGGTGCAGGAGCAGCTTCGCAAGCCACACTTTTGGAGGGCAAGAGCCATATGTTGGCCACAGCTGCTCTATATATTTAATCCTAAAGATTTCATTGTAGATACTTAAAATAGCATATAGTTGACTCATGCACCTTGGGGCACAAACTAAGGATGTTAAATATCGATTACTTGAATAGTCAATTAACCTCATGAATTCTTATTGGTTAGTTGACTATTCTATAGTCCTGGGGGCAGGACCGGCAACCAGTGCGCTCCAGCCCCTCTTGGGAAGCCTCCTTTACCCCGCACAGCTGCCTCTCTACCAGCTGATCCCGGGCTCCATGGAGCACTGCCCCATTGAAACGCCACTGCAGCTTTTCAAAGAGGAGGCGTATGTAATTAATTGCAATTAAATTTTGTAATCACTTGACAGAAAAATTAATTCTGTTCAGTGGTGGGAAAAATTAGAGGGAATACTGGGCATGATAAAAGTTTTCAAGTTCATAAAAATTTGTTACAAGGAGGAAGGAAAAATTGTTCTTCTTAGCCTCTAAAGATAGGACAAGAAGCAATGGACCTCCACTTCAGCAAAGATGGGTTAGGTTGGACTTTCAGTCAGGGTGACTGAACATAGGAATAAATGCCTAAGGAGGTTGCAGAATCTCCATTGTTGTAGATTTTTAAGAGAAAGTTACAAATGCCTGTCAGAGATTGTTTACATAATACTTATTCCTGCCATGAGTGCAGGCCACTGGATTAGATGACCTCTCAAGGTCTCTTCTACGCCTCTGATTCTATGAAAGCCTATCATATGGGACAACTTAGGTCTCAGTGATTCAAAATTTCCTCAGCCAAAGACCGGGCTGGTAGTTGACAGACAGCAAGTACTGGGCATTGATTCCTCTGGCTGTACTTACAGTACCACAGAGATCCTCAGATAACACGTGCTACTGGAGCTTAGATCATGATATATTACAGTTAAACAATGCATATCATACCTGTTAGAATGCTTGGAATGAACAAAAATTCTCTTTCTTTCTGTAGTTGCTCAGAATAGCTTTTGTAATCTGCAGGTTTTACTACTAGAAAATCAGGAGCCATTTGACTGATAATGAATAAATCTTTATCATTAACAAGGCAGTCCTCTTCATCCTATATTTCACATGTAAAAATTATTAATTCTTTTATTTAGTATGACTTTTTAGTCTGGAAAACATCAATTTCACAATTTTGCATGCAAAAATGTGTTTTATTTAAATTATGCTGTCTAGTAAATCTTTGCTCTAATTCCCTCAGGAGCCAAGCAATTTGTTCTTTATAGCCAGGGGTTGTTTCAGCAAAAGATACCCACTGGGGTGAATGTGGCAACAGCTACTTCAACCCTG